GTGGACTCCCAGTAGCTTGCGTGGAAGAGGTGCGGCAAGGCGACCGTTGGGAAAGCCGTCAGAGCGTCAGGACAGTAGAGAGCGTAGTCAATCCTTTTGGTTCCCCACCACTTGGCAGCAACTAGAAGCAAGAGACTCGTTCAAAAGGGGTTCATACGCATGCGCGGTCTCGGTCACAAACGGTATTTTGAGGCTCTGGATCCTTGCTCCAGGTATGCCGGGAAGTTGCTCCCTGGCTGGTCGCACTGCTAAGAGGGAACAACTGACCCAGGTCTCAGTGTCTGCTCAACCCAAGGGAGGAACACAGTGGCATCACCACTTGAGCTCTGCTTTATTTAAGCAAATAGGAAGGCACTAGAGGGCAGGTATTAATTGGCCATTAGTCCAGACCCTGGGGAAGGGGTCCAAGGCTCATGTGCAATAAGCCTGGGAATCCACGTGCCAAAATGTAAAACAGAAATGCATCTCCCCGGAGCTGTGGGAGGAAGGATGTGTGTGCTCTGCCCACCACAGTACACGCTCAGGCCATCTCTGGCCCCACTTCCAACTCCTTTAGCTTCCACCAATGAACAAAAGACTCTTTAGCACCCAGATATTGACCACACTAGAAGAGGATCTGAATACTGGGAGCTCACATGAGATGCTAAAAGGCACCACAAGGCAGAATGCATGGCACGTGCCGCTAAGATTGGCAGTCCTGGTTGCCCTCCTGGGCTACCACATTGCAGGCAACAGAGACATCCAGTTGAGCTTCCCTGGGAGCACAGCCTCTGCAGCAGCCAACCAGAAAATGTCTGGGAGTGCAGGGATGTCACTGCGTGGGGGACTGAAAAATACACTGGGATTTTGGGTGGGCAAGGTTACAGACAATGCAGAAGACCTTCTCCCTTGGGGAGTCAACAACTTGCACACAAGTAACCAACAGCCACCGTTCACCCATGAGACACCACCACACTTCAACGCTGCCCTGAACTCTGCCCACACACACATCCTTTCCGACTCCCTAGCAATGAGCACGTTTCAGCCCAAAGCCTCAGACCCCAAAGGCGTGGGCTGCTTTCCAGCCTCAACCTCTGTGTGCTCCAGCCTGGAAAAGCAGCCGTGGAAAGAGAAGACGGATCAGATCAAGAGAGCAACAGGAGGAGCTGTGTTTGCATGCAGGTTGCAAGCTGGGGCTCTGACACAGGCTTTCTCAAGCTTGGTTTTTCTCTGTGACAATGTTCCTTTTTTACAGACTTCCAGGAAAGCTGCCAGGTACAAGGTCCGATCCAACAAACCCCTTGTTAAGGGAAATCTAGCTGGTGATGAGCACTGATGCTGAACTGAAAAAAAATGGACCCACCAGCTCCTTCCAGAGACCACAAAGCTCCCACCACAGCAACGCGCAGAGGGTCATGGCATCGGCACACCCCTACGGCCCAGCCCTGGCTGTGCTGAGTGCCCAGGCCACCCTCGTCCTAATGGCCCTTGCTTTTCTGAAGAGCCATGGGTAGGAGGAGGAGGGTGTTGATGGATCAACAAGGTTTTTCCAGAGCACACAGGCACCTCCTTGCAGCCATTTCTGACTCCCTGTCTTCCAAACTGGCAGCTCCTGGTCATGTCCCAACCTTTCATTTCTCATGCAAGTCCCCAGCTTGGGTAATTTCAGATTCTTTGTAGGGAGCAGACAGGATTTACTCTTCCATGCTCAAAAGACAGTGGTGAGGGCAGAAACATTGTCCCCACAGCTCTGCCCAGAAGAACTCCTGCTCTTGCCAAGTTGTTAGCTGTGATTGATTGATCTTTGTAGCAAGGTGAGAGAAATACTTGTTAAAATGCAACCAGAAATTGCAAGTGCCTCAGTGAAAGCGCATAGACTTGTTGTGAAGTTCTGTGAGTATCAAATGAGAGGAGGTCGAGCAGAGTAGATCTCTCCAGAATACCTGTCTTGATGTCCAGGTCGGGTATCCGAAGAGCACAGTCTGCAGCCTGACTCCATGGCCCTTTGAGCTTTCTTCCCTTCGAAGGGATTTCATGTTTATGCTGCCTACGTCTCTTGGACGAGGTTTGGGTAGGGGATTTGTGAGGGAGGGCAAGTTGGGACAGAAGGCTAAACCCTCTGCAATGATTAAGGTGGTGTTTGGTTTCTAAAAGGAAAAATAAAATTTTATAAAAAAAGCAGAAATCACACATTATTATGGCACACACATGCCACAGGCAACACTGGTTTCATTCTCCAGAAATTCACAGTGCAAGGGAAACCGCGCCCCAGGGAGGGCAGGTGGTTTCGCAGGGCACCTCTGGACTTCCTCCGGCTCTCCCTGCGGGATAAGCACGGACCACATCCAACCCCTCAGCTCCGCAGCTTCACATCACCACCGCGCTAATGAGGTCAAGTGCAAGAGCTGCAAAGCCAGAGCCAGGGCCCAGAGGACGTGTCGGCACCGGGGAGGCGAATGAAGGGGCTGCAACAGCCCTTGGGGCAGGCTGCACACCGGGTCAGCCTGCGCCGGGCCAGACTCTTCCTCTCCGATCTCAGAAACAGGTTTTGATGGCTGCGAAGTGCGTGGAGGAATAAATCACACAAACCAGAAGCTAAAAAAAAAAAACAACTGGGGATAGTGCGGGGAAAGCAAAGAGAGGCAGCCTGCTGTCAGTTCGCAGAGGCAGGATCCCTCCGTTGCATCACGTGGGCCTTCAGGCATCACCCTGGCGTAAACACTTCGTAACGAACGCCGAACACCCCCCGCTTCCCCTCCCGGCCAGCCGAACGCGGCAGCTCTCCATGGGCGTGAAACCAGCACAAAACAAACACCTTCTCCCCCAGGAGCCTTCTTCCCAAGCAGATTCACATTTAGCAAGCGCTTGGCAAGATGTCTTACAGGGACAAAGATACACGGGGAGCGCGGCATCAGCTCTCGGATGTGCTTTGGGAAAGAAAACCTCGTTTGTCGGAGCGCAGGTGGTTTATTCCTGC